ATTCATCCATTTCAAACTAATGGAACTCTATAGAAGATTTGGTTCTCACTTCCTTTCTTCGCGAATATTTCAGACAAGATTTGTTCCCGTTTCGTCCTCTGTCCGAAAGTTCCTGAGTCTTTAATTGGCAAATTGTTCTTCGAGAGAAAGTTTTTTACACTTTAGTTCCCCTTTTGTCCTTTTCCAAAACATTGCGGAGACTTTTGTTCCCATTTCGTTCCCTTTGAAATGTTTTCGAAAGTATCGTTAGAAATTTGATCTCATTGGGAACATTCCAAAGGGTTTTGTACTTACATAATTCCCATTGAGAACGTTTTCGAAGGTTTTGTTCTCATTTCGGTTTTGGTTTTTAAGCGTTCTTGGGAAAAAAAACTACGAGAACCACATTTATTTAGTTTCGTTCATGCCTCTTATTCGTTATTTATGTATTGATTAATTCAGTATCTTTGGCTGGAATATTTTCCTCCAAAACTAATGTTTGCACAGTCTAGTCGCACAGGTAAGCTCATTGTACCACAGTCCAAATATTCATCCACGCCAATAATGGTTTTCATTGGAGCTGTTGGATTTTATTGTTGGGTTTATTACTCTATCGGTCGTGTTCGTCTTGCTTTTCATATATTATATTGCAATGGTCTCGGTTGCGTTTAAACCAGCTAGAATGATGCCGGCGGAATATTTTTTGAAGCATTCCTCTGCAGACGAATCGTTCGTGTTGCCTATCGTTCGTGATACAGAATAAGGCTGTTAAGCGTTCACGATTAAATTCTGCAAACCAGTCACAAATAATGGCTGTTGTTGGTGCTACATTACCGAAAGCCGAATAAAGCCGTTCCCAGTTTTGTTTTTGACTTACATAAAATCATAGACAATTATCGCACGAAAATTTTCATGGGAAATTTCCATTTTTCCACAAACTTTGTTCCTTTGGAACGATATTTAATCAAAGCTACTTGGCGGAATTTTTATCTGGCAATGTTGATACCTTGCACAATTTTTTGAAAATCATTGTTTGACATCAAAGAACGCCGCCGCAATGGTCGTTAGCGGCAAATTTCAGGATTACCCTCGTGCATATATATACATACATACATATATATTTATGCATATGTAACATACAGTGACTGCATTTCGCAACACTTGTAATTTCAATGAGATTTTCAACACTTTGACTGCCAGCAGCGCAGCATCTCCAACAACAACGTCACTTACAACACCAACAACAGCACAACGCCATTATCGCGATGATTGCCATCGACATTCATAAAGTAAAGGTAACGCTAAGCGCCACAGCAACAACAAAAACGTTGTCAGCAACAGCAACAAAAATAAACTAACGGTAATTACGTGTACAACAATGGTAATAACTTCAATAAGATTATCATTGGCCATAGCAACAATAAGCCACGGCCCAAAAAACTCAAGATGGGCGAGTGTAAATAAAACGGCCGACCTTTTAACGCTTACGGATGCCGGAATATGTCTGCATACATACGTAGATTACTTATAGTCAAACTATGTTATGCCCGCGGCTGTGATAACAACATTGTTCGTTACGGAGCTGCTTTGTACAATTATAGCAATAACAAGCAAACAGGTAACAACAACTTCCCGGTTTATGTTGCATTCAACAATCAAGCGGATGCGATTTATTGCCGGCATGCGCTAAAGAAAATGAGAGTTAGAGTGAGAGTGAGAGTGAGAGTGCAATGGTCGAATGTATTATGCAGGGAGTAGATTGGAGGAATGGGTGAGAAGGCCACATCACAATCAACACCAGCTGAAGCAATTGTAGCCAGCTCAGCTATCAGCTAGAAGGCTAGTATCGTAATGTTTAAATGACAACAACAAAAGCAATTAGACGCTTTGTGAGGTGCTGCTGCTGTGTTGTTACTATGCATCAGTGTTGCCATTTTGCCGCTTTTCGAGCTAGATTTAGCACTTTATTTTTTCTATTTAGCTCCGAAAATTGGGTTTTAGCTAATAGCTCTTTTTTAGCTCCTTTCAAATTTATTTAGCACGTTTTTAGCTCCGGAAAGCTTTAGTTGTATTTATTTATATATTATAATTACAAATCTGTAAGTTCATTTCACAAGTGTTGACTAAATTTTATTTCGCCTTGGTGATCTCAGGCTATATTTGATATTTTCATTTTATTCTATTTCGATTAGTACCTGGAAAAGTTCCATTCCTAATGCAAATACTAGCATGCAAGCAACTGGAAAATGGACAAGTTAATTAGGTGCTGCAACATGCGCGGGAGCACACAAACTATACCGGACCGTAATTCGAGCGCCGATAAGCTAAAAGCTTAAAGGAAAGATAAAACTTAAACGNATTTTTATTCGAGCGCCGATAAGCTAAAAGCTTAAAGGAAAGATAAAACTTAAACGTTGATAGTTCAAAAATTAATTAGAAAACAATTTTACCCTTAAAGAGAGCTAGAATATAAGTAAAGCTTTTGAGAAAAATTGTGCAAAAAAATTATGCATAGAACGAGTTTTTACGGTCAATCCAAGTATCTGAAATTGCCGATTTAAAAAGTTTGTNGTTGATAGTTCAAAAATTAATTAGAAAACAATTTTACCCTTAAAGAGAGCTAGAATATAAGTAAAGCTTTTGAGAAAAATTGTGCAAAAAAATTATGCATAGCCCGGGTTTTTACGGTCAATCCAAGTATCTGAAATTGCCGATTTAAAAAGTTTGTAAAGTCTATTCTAGTCTGTCTAGTTTATAAAAATATGTTATTAATGCCATAACAACGAATTCGAAATATATGCACCTTTCTTTGGCTTCAAAAATTTTGTTCAGCACTGAAACTTATAAAACTCGTTTTTTTTTTATTAAAATTGCCGAAAATTTAAAAACAAACTTACTTCAATAAATGCTCAATTTAAAAAAAATATATATGTAGCTCTTCATTTTAGCTACTATTAGTATTACTTAGCTCTTTTTCTGGACCGTTTTAGCTCCAAACGAAATTTTCTCTGGCACCACTGCAATGCATTGGTTAGCTCGCAGTCGACACTCAGCAGCGCGACGTTGCAAATGAAAACGAAAGTAATCGAATAACCGCATAGCTGCGCTCAACGGTGTAGCGCGTGCTGCCGAAATGCCTGCCTGGGCGCAGGGAGGCGCAGCTGGCTGGCTGCTTGACTACCGCTAACATTAGTCGTTAGTCAGACACTAGCACAACGACGACTCATTGTTGGCGTTATTGTTTTGTTTTAATTTTGCTTTGTTGTTATTTGTCCGCCTCCATACCCCTTTTCCTTTTTCTTGAATCACTTTTATTTTCAATGAAAATTTTCATTTCAAACATCATTTACACTCGCATTTGTGAGTGGACAAGAAGGCGGTAGGTGGGAGATGATTGTTGGGAAAAATGTTAGGTGATAGGTGGCAGTCAGCAGCAGCATCCGCTGCTATCGCACGGTGGCAGTTGTTGAGGCTAAAGTCGAGGCCGCGTGCGCGACAGGAGCTTAGTGCAGTTGCATTTGAGCGGTGGTCGGTGCGAGTCGCAACTTTCGAAACGCTTTGCGATAGCAACTTAACCCTCAAACGCGTGTGAATTGGAAAACAAAAAGGGAACAGATATACATTTAAATAATATCGTTTTCATTGTGCATCTGGCTTACGTGATTTCTGATCGGTCAAGTTTTTTTTCTCAGTGTTCGCTTAAAGCAATCGTAATTAGAAACAGTGGGCAGTTAGCAAAAGTCAAATAATTCCATTTTTGACATGTGCTAGCATCTATTTGCATACATATATATACATACACACATACATATGAACAAACATANCACGTGATTTCTGATCGGTCAAGTTTTTTTTCTCAGTGTTCGCTTAAAGCAATCGTAATTAGAAACAGTGGGTTATATAAGCGCCGCTCACTGAAAGCAAAAGTCAAATAATTCCATTTTTCACATGTGCTAGCATCTATTTGCATACATATATATACATACACACATACATATGAACAAACATACAAAAGTATATGCAAATCGGGCTGCTCACTCATCTCGTTCGAAACCTCCTCGAAAAAATTTTCAGTTGCACAATAAATAGTCGCTACCTTCAATTGCTCTACTGACGCTTTGCAGCAGGTGATTAATGGACTTTTAGGTGAATGATACACAGCAGCAAANTATGAACAAACATACAAAAGTATATGCAAATCGGGCTGCTCACTCATCTCGTTCGAAACCTCCTCGAAAAAATTTTCAGTTGCACAATAAATAGTCGCTACCTTCAATTGCTTTTCTGACGCTTGCAGCAGGTGATTAATGGACTTTTAGGTGAATGATACACAGCAGCAAATTGGTATTGTTCACTAAACCAGCAATTAAGTGTGTAGAATAACAGCAAAAAGGGGGCGATCTCGCGCAAAGAAAAACAATAAGGCGACCACAGAAAGCATGGGCAAATGGCAAAGGCCAAGCAGTGCATAGATTGTCAAAATGAAGTGAAAAACACATTTAAATAAAAATAATACAAAGTCGAAAGCCACTAATAAACACAACGAAAAGAAAAGTACTTTTGCTAGCCACGCGCAATTTTCCACCCGGTCTGTATTGAGTGCCGCGTTCAACTCCGCCGCATTGCCATTACGTTTGGCTTGCAGTGTGAAAGTGGAAATTCCGCGCGCGCGCTTAACAAATCCGCATCCAGCTCGGGTGGCAAACTCAAATACCAGTGGCACAATCGCATCTATAGTGTAATAAAAAAGCATACGAATTGTGTAAATAAGGACTGTTTTGACACCAAATCACCATTTGACGGTAATACTCGTAAAATTCTTCGATTGAGTGTTAAGCGTGTTCAGCTGGATACCTGTTGAAGTGTAAATGGCTTTGTAAACGGCAGGTGCGAATGTTTGCGCGACCACTTTGTCAAGGGCGTTTAGATGCGGAAATGCAGTGCGTATTGAAGATATTACATATCCAATTGCAAGCACTGAGCTGTACATATACAACAATCTGTGAATAATGTGATTAAACATGTGTTTTCTGCCTCGTTTACTGTTGCCATGCCTAATTATTTTCGCATCGATTGCTGCAGCGACATCGCAAAATTTAAAGTATCAACAATTCAGTGCAGGTAAACAATTGTAAGAGTTTTTGCAGAAATGTAATGTGAAATTACTTTCAGTTTTTATCGCAAGACAAACTTTAAAAAGAAAGTCGACCGACACGTAAATACTGTTAATAATTACCATTTATCGGCTAGTAAATACCGTCTTATCGAGCTGATAGGAATTTTAGTTTCCATAAATGCATTTCATTAGAGTATAGCTGAATTAACTTTATTTTTTTTTTTTTTATTGAAGCAGAGCTCACAAAAAGTGTGCTGACCAACGCAAAAATGTGTCCGTAAACGCAATAAAGTGCCAAGTTACGAAGGACCTGTATGCGCTTGACATCAATATGGCAAACGCGTAATTCGTTTCACTTCTATCGGCGCAGTAAGTGTAGCACTCTTGTGCGTAGAGTGCATAAAATTTTGGTTAAAACCTTAATATAGGCTGATATGAAAATACGAAAATTTCAGAGTTCCCGAATTCAGGGATTTATGAACTAGGAGAGAGATGCAGGATTGAAAAGGAATATACTTTTCGCGTTTGATTTGCACTGCATTGCATAAAAATGTCGCACATTGACAGGTTTATTTTCATTTTATATCTGTACGTCAGTACTATTCTCTGATATGTTGACTGTCGGCACCCCAGTCGATCAGTCATCCGACAACAGACTACAATTAGCTATGAAAATGAACCGAGCGGTACATTGGAGACCGATAAAGAAGCGTTGGACATGATTCAGAAATTACGTGACTTCTTGGAGCTTTATCTAGGCTTGCCGAGCGTCTTCCTTTCGGGAGGTCAGCCGTCCTTTGCCACCAAATGCCCTCCGTTCTTCCCAAAAAGTAAAAAGTCTCCCTTAACCCTCTACTTCCTCTTCTCCCTTAACCTTCTACTTTTATTCCACCTAACGAGTGTTATAAAAACGTATTCAACTAATTAAATTGAGAAGTAAACTAGGCATAAAGGGACTTAATGGGTTTGCCTGTGGTTAGATGACATTTGAATATAACCTCAATTTTGTTGCGCGTGACCGAAAAACGTCTAGTCGTGTATGCGGAACTTAACTGCAAAAAAAGGAAAATCAATGATAAAGGTTCGTCTGTTTTAATTTTTAGTTAGTTTACCGCTACCTGACTGTTTTCTATTGTTTTCATTCAGTTTTTCATATATTTCATTGCGACATAAACTTCAGAATAAACGACTTGAAATCGTATTTTCTTTGGATAAGGTTTAACGGCACAGATCATATGTGACGGAAAAGTTTTTACCTATTATGCATTCATATGTACACACATACATAGATTACTAAAAGAAAACAGATCGACATTAACTGCAATCAACATATGTACATATGTATGTATTTACATACATAAGCTGCGATTAGTTTATAAATATTGCGCCATCTGTTACTCAAGAGCCCAAATACCTACACACTCATGCTTTTTGTCTCCTTCTCTCACATCCAGCGCACTATGGGACTACAGCGGCTAAAAGTAGTAAAAACGGATTAGCGAATTCTGAAAAAGTAATTACACTTATGCATTGTAAAATATCCAGCTAACTCAAACCAAAAAGAATTTTTAAAGTAGGAGCAATGCGAAAAAATAAATTTGTAAGAAAAAATTTTGATTTTCTCGCAAGTAATTTGAATTAATTTTCCCGCTTGTGCGGATATATAAATAGCCAATCTGATTTATGAGCAGTTTTTGAATATATCTGTGGTCAAACATTGCATTAAATTTTTATAAATCTTTTGGAATGTATTAAACAGTTTACCATGAAATTCTGCGTAATTTTGTGAGTGTAAAATTTTTCGAGTGCTTACTTTACGAAGGGATATTTAAAAGGGACCTGGGAAGCGAGCTAAATTATACTTAGGACAAGTAAAAATTAAACCTGCGCGTGTCATATCTCAAATAGTTCAGCTTCTATTCTTGCTTTTATAGACCCACCTCCTGTAAAATTTATTCAAAACAAAAACAAAATCATTCGAGCGGTTTTCGAGCAATTTGATATTGAAAAAATTGCAAATTTTTTCAACACTTTTTTGCCTCTAAATGCTCGATATTTCTACTAATTCAAAGAACCTATATCCCGAAAATGAAAGTTATATCTGCAAATCATAAGTTGCTAGAGCACTTTAAAAGCTCAAAATTTACACCAAAATTAGCCAATATTTACCGTTGTTTCTTCGACAGACACCGATTCGGTTACTTACATACATAAATGTATCTGTCTATAGGTTTGGATTTTTATCTTTGAAACGGCACACATTTCTTTGAAATCGCTTCATGAGTTCTCGTGCAATAAGCGTTTACGTGAAGCGCTATAAACGAGTAAAATATGCAATCAAAAATATTTCCTAATTATTTTGTTGCCGGTACAAAAATAAATAACACATGTATTTTAACAAGAAAGTAACGAAAAAAATTAATTTCAAAATGTAATACTAAATTTAGTTTATAATCATGCAGACAGTTGCAATCTTGTGTAAATGGAAACATTGACAGTGTAATCCTGGTTCAGATGAGTGGTTGGTTGGTTTAAGTGAATTGTCACCCTGGTGATAAGCAATTGGAAAATTTGCCATTTTTATTCCACAACTCATACTCAGCCATTTGACGGCTTTAATGAATTTCAGTACGTCATACAGAGAGAAGCAGCTGCACTCTAAAACATTCGGAGGAAATGGCTTACCGAATGTCTTAAGCCTCATCCTTGCGAGGGCTGGACGCTCACACAGGTAGTGTTTGACTGCTACTGCAACAGAACCTATTGAAGGATCAAATCCTTTAAGCATGTAGTAAGCTTGTAGATAACTTCTTTGCTCGTTCTTAAGAGGGCTCGTAATTTCGTATTGATCAGAGATATAGTCCCCCACTAACCGGTTGGCTATCCGAAAAGATATTCAGATGAATATTTGGGAAAGAATCAAAGGTAATTTTTATGTGAAGAGATTCCGCACTAAATTTAAATGGTTGTAAAACAAAAAAAGCACAAATATGAAAAAACCATATGCATTTGTTGAAAAATATACTAAATATGCGCTATAAATGTGCAAAATCACGCATTTACTGCAAAATATGCAAAAATAGGCACTAACGTTTGAATGCCATTTTAAAGCAAATGTCATGATTCGTAAGGATAACTTAATCATTTCTATATGAAGAGGCCCAATAGCGTGAGCCGAAAATCCGTGTTTTTTAGAATTTTTAGTGGTAATAGCAAAAATACGATCCATTATGTTTAAAAAAAAAATTTGTGAAATTTGGAATTTTCTGGTCAATGTCCATCAAAGTTCAATATGCTCAAAAAATAAAAATTAATATATAAATTAATTAATACATTTTTTTACTAAAATTGCAATAATCTTCAAAAATATTAATCCTACATTATGTGGTATATGGACCTTTTTTTGTAGAGAATCGAACTTAGCTAAAAAAAATTTTAGTAGTTGAACTTTGGTGGACATGGGCGAGCTTTCACATTTCACACAGATTTATTTTAGAGCATGATGAACCATATTTTTGCTATTACCAATCAAAATTCTAAAAAAGCGGATTTTCAGCCCACGCTAATCTTCATCTCCATCTTCATCTTCATCTTCATCTTCATCTT